AGAGAATGAACAGTCCATGAAGACTGTCTTGAACTGTCTCAACTGAGATTTACCATACATTCACATTGATTCGGCAAAAACACAACTCTCTGCTGTGTTTTTGTGTGAGGAGCTGTGTTGGTCAGGGGGAATGAGGGGTCGCAGGCATGTACAATGTTGGGACAAATCCATGTGAGTAGTTTCATTCATGGTTCCAGCTCATGAGCTTCCATTGTTTTGAATAGTCATGCTGCTAACATACCCTACTCTACCTTAGCACCAATTCTACCATCAGTATGTTGGCAATGATAAATGACACAGCCTAACATGCTGAAAAAACTTAGACATTGTTGGCCATCAAAGGACTGAAACACCACCAATGGGGATAAATATCTCAGACTCAAGGCCAGTCAGGAAGAACTGATGAAGCCTCTTGGATGAGATGTGAAACGTCTTCAACCTAAAAACCTAGTCCAGTTGATTTTTCTAAGTGTTTTCAGCTTACTGTGACCTGGATGACTGAGAATCTGCATGGACACAGCTTAACATCTAATACCCTAACTAATGAAAACACATGGTGTGTCATTAAGGTGTGTTAACTGTGGCCCAAATTCAACAGGGAACAGCAGCATATGCTCATGATAACAAGGTAAACAAAAGTTATCTTCCTGCAGACGTCGGTGTTCCAATTGTACCCTGTATGTCATAGGTCAACACACTGCCCTTGACAAATAATGTCACAGTCCCATGTGGCAAAAGATGAACCAGATCCAACTTTTTCACAGCAAAGGGGTGCATCATTTTGCCAGAACCCTCTACGGTGTTGGTGCTGGTGTTGGCTGTGGTGAACGCAATCCCTGATAGAAATAAATTGAGAGGGCTGCATTTTGTCACACCTGTGAAACTCAGGCATAGCCTTACACAGGTGTCACCAAATTAACTCTAGGACCCACCTTATCTGCAGACTGCTGCAGGTAGAGCAGCAAAAGAGCAGGAAAGGAGGGGCCTTAACACTACTGAACTTCCTGGTAGGTGAATACTGGCCTACTGAGTGATAACTATGGTCCAATAACCAGTGATAGCAACCCATTGATTGGCAGGATAACATCTGCAGCACATTAATGTGCTTAGTCACTCAAATGTTGCTCAAAGTCTTGGGGCTTAAGGTGTGGACACACATGACAACCAAGCGAAACCTACAAAGACTGGACATACCGTGCTTCTTCAGGTTTATAGCCCACATCATTCAGTAAGGAGCAGACACTTGACTGAGTAAACACTGTGGACAACACACTTAATGACTGTTTGCTAACAGATGGAACTTCTGGCAATAACCATGCTGGAGCTGCCTGTTAAGCCCTGTTTGGGCCATCATGGGCTACACTATCTGCAGCTAAAATCCTACAGGTACTGTGCAGTGTTTTGCTCTAGTTTTAACCCTCAGAGCAGCGCATGCTAAAGTCATTACGACCAGAGTCCCTTTGAAGAGGGGGACCGAAAGAAACAGGACAAGTCTGAGCCCTTGTCTCCCCTTTTCTCCAGCCCATTTTTTCTTTTCCTCTCCAAAAGAATGCCTGCAAGACCTCATACTATTATCTGCTTTTTCAATTCATTTCCCTTCCTGCTTGCTGCCTGATCTCTTCCAGCCTCCCTTTCTGTCTTTCATTCATTCCACTTAACCCTAACCTGCCTCATGATTCTGCTCTCACTTTCTGTTTCATTTGCCCTCCCCCTTTACAACAGTGGCATCAAAAGCATCCCAATTTTGCAAGCCTCCCCCTTTTTCCTCCAGACATAACGATGGTCACTATGGCCAAACAATTCAGTTTGTGTTTCATCAGACCAGAGGACAATTCTCCAGAAAGTAAGATCTTTGTCTCCATGTGCACCTGCAAACTATAGTCAGCCTTTTTATAGCCGTCTTGGAGCAGTGGCTTCTTCTTTGCTGAGCAGTCTTTCAGGTTATGTTGATAAAGGACTTGTTTTACTGTGGATATAGATACTTTGGTACCTGTTTCCTCCAGTGTCTTCACGCGTTTGAAGGTAGGCCTTAATATACAGCCACAGATGTACCTCCTATTGTCAGTTAGCCTATCAAAAGCTTTTAAAAGCATGACATTGTTTTCTGGACTTTTTCAAGCTGTTTAAAGGCACAGTCAGCTGAATGTATGCAAGCTTCTGGCCCACTGGAATTGTGATATAGTGAATTATAAGTGAAATAATTAAATAATTATCTGTAAACAACTGCTGGAAAAATTACTTGTGTCATGCGTAAAGTATGTCCTAATCGACTTGCCAAAATGAGAGTTTGTTAACATGACATATGTGGAATGGTTTTGATGACTTCAACTTAAGTGTACTGTATGTAAATCTCTGATATAAACATATAGTATATGTATGCTACTTTCATTTAAAATACAAATGTCTTGTCATGAAACAACAGCTTGTGACCTGTTAAATGAGGGTGTGGGTTGCCTTGTGGGGTGACTGTGGTTCAGTGGGTAGAGCAGTCCTCTCCCAACTGGAGGGTCGGGAGTTCGAATCTCGGTGTCTGCAGTCCACATGTCGAAGTGTTCTTGGGCAAGACACTGAACCTCTAAGTTGCCCCCGATTGTTACAGCCATCGGTTGAGTTGGCACTGCGTAGATGGCTGCCTCGGTTCTCTACTGCAAACAAATTCCTTGTGTGTAACATAATAAAGGCGGTTTGATTCCCAGTGCACGTGTCAAAGTGTCCTTGAGCAAGATGCTGAACCACAAGTTGCTCCCGGTGATATCACCTGTGTGTGTGTGTTTGGGAGTGCGAATGGGTGAATGGGCAAATAATGTGAAAACACGTTGAGTGTGCTGCAATGCATAGAAAAGAGCTATGCAAATATAAGACCATTTACATATGCTTTTTTAACCACAACCACAGCTTGTAAAATATTATAGTTATATACCTTTACCTATTAGACCTGCTGCACTGATAACTAATAAGATGTGCTCTGAACCTTGATGGTGTAAACGCTGTTAGAGTTTAAATAAAGATTTTGGTCTGTGTGACTGTACGATGTGGCCAAACTGTATTTGAACATGGGAAACCCACCATGGGTCAAACCTATATTGCATACACATGATGGCCTCAGGTGCCATATGAGTTGTAGTTATAGTCTCTTTTGGACATAGTCTAATCTTATACACAGAGGACACAATGAGGTTTTCAGCTGTAGCTGACAAATTTCTGTGAAAATCCAATTATCGGTGTCCTGCTCCAACAATGACTGCATCAATTCGACTTAACAGAGGTGTGTGATTAGAAACAGCCTATCACCTCTCTCTTTACAACACACTACACACACATAAGTAAAGCTGCAGTGGGCAAATTTAGGACCATTTGGGATTCACATTAGTTGGATAAACCTCACCTCATACACACATCCATATACACACACTCCTCAAACCATGAGCACATCAGGTATGAACCTTGCAACATCCGTCTTAAATCCATAGTGTTCTACCTGCCAACTGTGGGAACAGTTTTCCATGCTGGTTTAATCTTGTCTACCTCACTGCTGCGCCTATGCCTGTGTGAGTGTGTTGGTGGGTTGTGTTTTGATTAATTAAATATACTAAATATATGTGCAGATACAATTTGTGTTATGTATGAATTGTGTTCAAACTATATACATACTGTATGTTTATGTGTACATGTAGAGTTTTCTCTACTCTTGATTCTCTGTGTATGACTGTGCGTATTTATGTTGTTGACTTTTTTATGCATGCTCATTTTTTCCCCATGTTATGTGCTTGCATTTGTAATTTGAGTGTGTTTTTTGTGTTTGTGTGTGAGCATAAGGGTGCAACTGCCCACAGTGTGGTTGCTGGTCAGTTCATTCTAGCAGCAGGTTGTCAGGTATTTTTACTGTCTCACCTGGGTGTGTGTGTGCGTGTGCATGGGGGGGTATGTTACTCTATACTTGTGGGGACTGAAAAACGAGAGTACACTGTCTTTGTTGAGATTCACCTGAATTTTATGAAAACAATGTAGGTTAGGCTAAGGTTCGGGTCTGGTTAAGGTTAGGGTAAGTCTCCAGGAAATTAATGTAAGTCTATGTAAAGACACAGTAAGTGACCAAAAAGAAAAGGATGTGTGTGCGTGCACTCGTGTGTCATGGAAGGTTGTTAGCAGATCATGGCCAGTGTTGTCCAAGGGACTGACATGAAGGCAGATAAGCCTGGAACAGAGGTAGCAGTCTACCCAGACGCCAGGAGGTGGTGGGAGGGGAGCAAGACCCTGTGTGAATCTGGCATGGGAGGCTGCTATCACTGACATGCTAATACATGAACCTCATTACAACGCAGATAGCCATTCTAGCTCAAGTAAAATTGTGCACCACAGATTTACAGACATGCATTTCATTTGTGTTGCCTGTACACTTTACATGGAGATAAATAAATGTTTTATTTGATAAAGGTGCACATTGTCAGGCTCTACAACAGTGTTATACACAACATAAGCACTAGTAGACTTACCTTGAACAGCATTACGCACCCAGCAGTAACATTTACAGTAGTCACACATTTTCACTTTTACTTAAAGCCAAAGAAAATGATAACTCCCAGAATGTTTTCCAACAGTCACACCGTTTGATTCCCGGCTTCTCCAGTGTATGTGTTAAAGTGTCCTCACAGTCACATTGTAATATGGCAGCACTGTCATGTGTGTAAATAAACAAGATTAACTCACCCTAGGCTAAATGGAATGATTTATAATAATAATAATAAAGCTTTATTTATATAGCACTTTACAACTCCAGGGAGCACAGAGTGCTGCACAATGGTTACGTCCGTGGCCCAAACCACCCCCAGCACCTCATTTGCTGGCATGAGCTGTCACAGTAACTCCGCCTCCGCAGAGGTGGGAAGGCATTCTAGGCAGCAAGGCACACCTGCTCTCAATTACCAGACTAGCACTTAAGGTGAGCGTTGGTGTTGGTGTGCCCTCGTTGCCAGATGATCTCTTGTATTCCTGCCGGTAACCTGTCTTTGATCTCATCACTAGGACACCCTATGTATGAACTGTTTTCTGTGTTGTTGGACTTGATTTCAGGTAGTAATGAACTGACTGCCCTGCTTGTTTTTTGAAGGGTAGCTTTCTGTTTGAACTGTTTTTGCTGTGGACTAGTGTTACAGAACAAAGTACCCTCTTCATGTTGGTTGCAGCCTTTTTGTATAGCACCATTTGGTGCCTGGATTATGAACCGTTTCTTTAGGTGACACTCCTCAGGATGAGGAGACCAACTCTTGCTGGGACTGGTTGCCTGGCTCTGGATCCCAACTGTCAGCCGTCCTCACACCATCCTGCTACCTGCTCTACCATCCGCTGTGAGCCTGATTCTCACTATCTACTGCACGCTGGACCAGTGATCTCCTGTGCCAACTCCTACACCACCTCTAGACTGTGTTTCATGCCTATGGCATTCACCTGACTTGAGCCAGTAAATTCTGCTACTCAGGCCCTCAGTATACTATCAGTATTGCCATAATCTTAGCGTCACTGTTACTCATTCTCATCCTCTGCTTTTCTTTAGCCAGCTGCGCCTCTCCTACAACCTTGGGTTGTAGCTCTAGCAGTCCAGTCAACCCAGCACTCCCCGCTGCCCTGAGATCAGCTGACGAGACCGGTTCTGACCACTCATTTCTGTAGTCATTAAAATACTTTTACCTGGTTAAGCCTGAGTCAGAGTTCTGCCTTTTTACTGAGTCCGAACTAGTATACGTATATACGGTTCTCCGTAACAACAATAGAACATGTGTAGCAAATAGAAAACATTACTAAAACAATACAACCTAAACAGAATAAAACACAAATTTACAAAACAGGAATAAAAAAAACTTCCATATCAAGATACAAATAGCATAAAACAACAAGTTAAACGACATCCCTTTGGGGCAAGTAAAACAGATTAAACACCAATTACATTTACATGAAATTCACAGCTTGGCAGCAAACCCAGTCTGTCAGTAAATCTGACCTGATAGACTGATGACACTGAAAACCTGCTCTATCCCAGTGAGACTGCAAGAATGACAGTCAAGAATTCTGAGCTCAGTCTGACAGGGGGAAATGATTGTCCAATGTTTTTGAAAAAACAGAGGGTTTCACTTTAGTGCTATTTCTCCGAGCATCCTGAACTGTAATATTGTCCTCCATTTTTCATCTAGGTCCTAAAACAAAATTGACATGCCCATATATATGTGAGAATAGGTTAGTTGGCATTCAGTACCACTGAGGTAAAATGCAAGGGGCTACACTGATTGTGGGGTGAGGGGTTGCAGGGGCAGTGTTGTAGGCATGTACAATATGGCCACATTGTAACAAGTTGAGGCGACTGATTTCATTCGCGTTTCCAGCCCAGGGGTTTCCATTGTGTTTTGATTAGCCATGCTGCTAATGTAGCATATTCTACCTTAGCACCAATTCTACCACCAGTGTGTCAGATAAAAAACACCTTTTAACATCCAGTACTAACTAAAATGCGTGATTTATTGTTATGGTGCGTTGCCTGTGGCCCAAATTCAAGAGTGAATAGCAGTGAATGCTCATGCAACCAAGATAGATAGATAGATAATCCTTTATTGTCATTGTAACACATACAATTTTTGAGTGACCTCCAATCGCTACACCAATATATACACATGAAATAAGATCATAAAAAAACTTAACGGCTAGAAAAATGAAATAAACAACAGACCCCCCCCCCACACACACACACACACACACAGGCATATTATATTTTAGCAGCATTGACTGTGACTGCTGCTGGGTAAAAACTATTCCTGAATCTAGTGGTCCTTGATTTGATTGCTCTGACCCGTCTACATGACGGCAGCAGTTCAAAGAGTGAAGGTCCTGGGTGTGAAGTGTCCTTAATGATGTTCTGAGCTTTTTTGAGGCAGTGGGAACTGTGTAGTTCTTCCAGAGTGAGGAGAGGGCAGCCGACATTCAGCTTGTGGTGAACCAGTGCTGAGGCTGAGAGCTGTGGATGTGTGTGAGCCCACTCTCACAATCTGGCTGTGTCTGGGCAGGAAGCTCTTAATCCATATGCAGGTGGAATATGGCATTCCCAGGTCCACCAGCTTGTCCACCAGTTTGTGGGGGAGGATGGTGTTGAATGTGAAGCTATAATCCACAAAGAACAGCCGTGCATAGCTCTCCTTATGCTTCAAGTGGGACAGCACAGTGTGGAGGGCTGTGGCTACGACATCCTCTGTGGATCTATTTGCCCTGTATGCAAACTGGTGTGGGTCAGATGTTGGTGGGAGGAATGACATAATGTGTCCCCGTACCAGTTTCTCAAAACACTTCATCACCACTGGAGTGAGTGCAACTGGCCAGTAGTCATTGAAGCTGGTTATGTTGGGTTTCTTAGGCAAGGGAACTAGGATGGAGGACTTCAGGCAGGGTGGAAGAGTGGACTGGGCCAGAGACTGGTTGAAGATCCTAGTGAAGACTCCAGACAGTTGGTCTGCACAGTCCTCCAGCACACGTCCGGGAAAGTCATCCAGTCCAACATCCTTCCTTCCTTTCCTGAACCATTCTGCTCCCATGCATTGATTTGTTAAGCTCAAGGCCCAACCATTGACGCTGACATGTCGAATAGGCCAAAAAGCCACCAGCAGGGTCTGACTAGTGCCAAGGGTGCGGGGCATACCAGGAAAATGATCCCTGACAGATGCTCACCAACGGCCGACCATCAGCTTGGTGTGTTTCTGCCCTAAACTGTGACATACTTGTTAGGTTTTCTATAGAGACCTTTGATTTTGCATGACCCTGTGTCACCCAGGCAGAGTCAGTCCAGGGTCGGAGCTAGGATACTCTGTGTGGATAAGTCGCTTGTCCTGTGTGTTGGTAAGTTGCTTGTGGCTTTTTTTTTTTTAATCATAGGCACCTGCCAAAATTGTCAAGCCATGTAATTCTGATCCAGGGTTCTGCACTTGTTTCCATATTTCAGCACCCCTTCAGGAGGTGGTACTAAAGGCGGTACTAGTTCCAGGAACATGAAGGGGGAGGCGATGGGTGCTCAGAGAGCTGTTGCCTGTGATGGGTTAAATGACAGTGTCTTCACACCTCATTTAGCATTACAAGCAGTGTGTAAACACACTTCCTATTTTAGAGGTAAAATGAGGACTTAACTTGCTGGTTTAGAGGGTAAACAGGGACTTCGGGGGACATACAGTAAACTTCCAGTTCATGTGAACATGAAATACAAGCGTGTACACTGACAGTGAACCCAGGGCACTGCTTGGACCATTACAAACTGGCCAGTGGATCAGACTGCCATCCAGAACACAATCTGTCATAATTTTGTTTGTTTACTCCACTGCAACATAATCATTCCTAGGTTTTCTATAAACTTGTTCAATCTTTTCAATTTCTCCTGCTCTGTTGGGCTGTGGGCAGTAATCATTCAATAGGTGCTTGTCACAATTATAACATAATGGGGGGTTACTTATGATGCAACACTTTACTTGAGGGGGAGCAATAAGAGTAACTAGTAATCAAGTAATGACTAATCAGTGAGATGACACTTGTTTGTAGTGCTCAGAAGCTGATTCAGTGTTAAATGGGTCAAAAACAACAAGGGTAAAGCATTCACTACACAACCTCCTGAGATGCTGGTCTTTGCTAAGCAGTACAGTAAGGTTACTTGTTTCTTCAGGTTTGTTTTGCAGACCCTCTGAATTGGTTTGACACAAAGCAATGTCACAAAGCAAGGTCACAAAGGTCATCTGTAATTATGTTCAATGGAGTACAACTGATTTGCTTTGGCCGTCAATACTGAATGATGAATGTCAAAGCATGTACAGTATGTTTTTATGTACCAATGTACAATTGGTCATGCCCTTCCTGTCCACTGAAAACCATGTATCCTCAAATTTGGTGGTTTTGAATTTTTCTAATAAACTGAAGAATTAAATGTTCATGTAAAGTTTGAGAAAATTATCATCTTAAGCTAAACAAACAACCAAAAATCAACTTGCATTGGCTGTAAAATGCCTTGTCACAAGTCCAAGAAAAATGTACTCATAGCGATATGTGGTTTTTACAAGATGCTCTAATCATATGATATTTTGTACTGTATTGTACTTTGTTGCTGGAAATTCTGTACTGGGCAGTACAGCGAGACGGTGGTTAGCGCTGTCACTTCACAGCAAGAAGGTTCCAGATGTGAGCCCGGGTCAACACGATGCTTTTTTATACAGAGCCTGAATGTTATCCCTGTGCCTGCATGGGTTCTCTCTGGGTACTCCAGCCTCCTCCCACAGTCCAAAGACATGCATCTTAGGTTGATTGGTGACTCTAAATTGCCCATAGGAGTGTGTGTATGTGTGTGGTTGTCTGTCTCTAAGTGTTAGCCCTGTGATAGACTGGCGACCTGTCTAGATTGTATCCTGCCTCTCGCTCAATGTCAGCTGGGATTGGCTCCAGCAATCCTATTCAGGAAAAAGTGGTATAGATAATGGATGGATGGAAATTATGTACTTCAACATGATGCAGTTAAAATATATGAGTTGATTTGTGCTCAACTATGTGTTTGTTGGTCAGGTTTGTGTCATTGTATTTTGACCTCCAAGGAGAGAGCATCTCATACAAACTTGTTATCTTGAACTTGACACTAAAGTCCACCCCAGCTTAAGACAATAAGAGAGGAGACAGAGGGAGGATGAAGAGAGGAGGAAAAGGACAGCAGAGAGGTGGCAGATGGCTGCAGAGCAGAAATGATGGAGGGATAAAGAGATATGGTAAGTTAGAGGGGAAAAGGAAGATTATATTTTTTAGGTGTGTGTATCCTGTGGATGATTGTCCAGAGTAAGAGAGACAGCAATTCTGCAAAGAATTTTCTGCAATAAACTGAGAATCACAAATTAGATTTCATTCACTGTATTGGAGTGGAGGCAGACATCTTAAAGTATGCTGTCATGTTTGGATCTTTGTGCTGTTATATCAATTACATTATTGTCATGTAGTACTGCAGTGCCAACCAGATCAGTCATGACTTAACAGTGCATTATGCAGCCGTTCTCTCAGTTTCAAATTGCTGCAAAATGTTTTTCATAATTTGGGTCTCATGATGGTCCAGTTGTGTTTTTACAAACATCTGTAGTGAGAAAACAAAAATACTTCATGTTTTAGAGTACAGGTATGAGCCAAACATTTAGAATATCGAATAAAAGTACATTTTTTCAGTAATTTGTTTCAAAAAGTGAAACTTGTATGTTATATTAGTTCACTACACACAAAGTGAAATATTTCAAATCTTTATTTTTCAATTTTGATGATTATGGATTAAAGACAAAAAACCCCAAATCCAGTATTTCACAAAATTAGAATATTTCATGTGACCAATAAAAAAAGGATCTTAAACACATGTTGGCCTTCTGAAAAGTGTGTTAATGTACTGTATTATGTCCTCAGTACTTTGTTGGGCCTCCTTTTGCATTAATTACTGCATCAAGGCGGCGTGGCATGGAGGCGATCAGCCTTTGACACAGTTGAGGTGTTATGGTAGCCCAAGTTGCTTTGATATTGGCCTTCAGCTTGTCTGCATTTCGGGGTCTGTGTTCCCTCATCGTCCTCTTGACAATACCCCATAGATTTTCAATGGGGTTTAAGTCAGGTGAGTTTGCCGGCCAATCAAGTACAGTTATTCCATGGCTATTAAACCAGGTACTGGTAATTTTGGCTGTGTGGGCAGGTGCCAAATCCTGCTGGAAAATAAAATCTTCAGCTCCAAAAAGCTTGTCGGCAGCAGGAAGCATGAAGTGCTCTAA